CCTGACATTTCACGGTCCGGGATTTCATCTCGTTGCTACTGCGCTCGAATTCGAAATGTTAATTTCGAACCGACTCGTGCTGCGGCGGAAAAAAATGAAGAAAAATAGTTTGCAGTACGGTAAATGTTGAGATTTTGCAGTTCTGTTTAAGTATGTCGGACGGGCTCAAGCAATGGTCTCGAGATTCCCGTGCGCCTTCGAAGTGTGTAATATTTATTCAGAGGCAACTGTACACCTTCAAGAAGTTTACTATCTGGAGATGAAACGATTTTACCGAAATTGCGAGTTCAAAGAATAAAAGAAACTTATCTGAATCGCATACTCTCCATTAATAGTACCATAAATGTTGTGTTCAAGCGTATTTCTGTTTTGAAAGAATGGTTGTTGGAAACTCTAGAAAATAATTTATTTTCTCTGTAGGTGACCGACTACGCCGACCATGTTCTCGGGTTTGAGAAGGCGAGGACTGCTGGACATCGAGACAGCCCTGCATTCCGACGAATGTCCCTGTTGCTTGGACCTCTGGGAAATGATCGCTACTGACTGAACAGCAGGATGAATGATCGAATGTAAGGTAAGAGTATATTGCTTATACATATTTATTTATTTCTACTTTCTTTAATATTTCTGCATAGTATAGAAAGCAAAAAAAAAAATGTTTAACCAGATGGATATGCAAGGAAATATATGGTCAGCAGTTTGTGTGCAATACTTCCTATTGTGCGATCCAATAATTTCTTCCAGTTATCTGAATACAAAGACTCTTACACGATCAAATGGAGTATAGAATGTGGAATACAAACTCTCACCTTTTGTTGGGGTGTGTGAATGAGATTATTCCTAATAATTAGCATGGCGTGGAATTGGCGTATGGCTCTAAACGACGTAGAAATATGCTGTCATTAACCCAGCGGTTTGTATGGAATGCCATAGCGCATCCATTAATCATACATATTGAAGAGAGAGGTTTTAGGGAAAGAATGTTCATTTATTGACCCCTGAAACCACTAACCAGAGGCATGGTGACATTTTGTATCCTTTCTATTGGACGCTGCTAGACATATAATGCAGTTAACGCAGAACAAATTGATTTGGGCATACCATGCGAATTTTAGAATTGAATGTTACAATTATATGGGTTAATAAAGTCACGCAGTTATTTCATTCAATAGATTTATGAAAATATAGTACAGGGAGAATCTATTTCTAAATATTATTCAAATATTACAGGTAACGGAAGCTAAGAATTCTAGAAATTGATATACATTTTTGAAGTGAGTAAAAGTGGTTTATATGTTCGACTTTTTTCAAGTTATGTTATTTTAAATAATACAATCATACAAGAAGTCAAAGTTTTTTTAAATTTGTTCCAACACAAGTTTGTTCATGTATTTCCTCTGTAGTCATTAAACAGTAATTATCTTGGAAATAATTTACTTACAAAATTAATTTGTCAAATCCATTCTTGTTCAAAACCTAACTTCAGAAGTAATGTACTGGAATTCGTGTTCGTGCATAAACTTGGAAATATATACATTACTGGAAAGTACACACCAAAACAAACTTACGTTGCTTATCGGGGAACCCGCGTTCGTCCGTTACGTTTAGACCCTTTCTTGCCTATTATTCGGAGAATAATAATAATAATAATAATAATAATAATAATAATAATAATAATAATAATAGCCAAGCAAAGTGGCTCAGGGTATAGCGCACTGACTTGTCAATCGGGAGGTCAGGGGTTCCATCCCCGGGCCGGCCATTCTAATCCTAATCCAAAATCCTGTCCGGGGTTTTCGTGGTCCGTCGATGTCATACAGGCGAATGCTGGAATGGTTCAAAAAGGCCACGATCACCCCTCATCATTATCCTATCTCCTCATAATTCATAATTGAAGGCTTAGCAACCTTGTCTTATCATGGGATACAGCTGTAAAGCTGATCCCCATGACGACACACATCAATCTCTCTCCGGGACAGAATATGACTGGACTTGGGAGAGGACGTGTAGGGGTGGGGGTCAGAAATGGTCGATTTGCAAATTATTATAAAAATAATTTATGCAATTATTACATAACAATCTAACCTTTCACGCGCATATGGGTATCAGAGAGGTGTGGATTGCCGAATTGACACACACACTCCTACGCACTATGGTAGTAGTAATGTAATTGCCGGTCCGATCGCACCCCAATCGGGACAAGCAAATTACATAGTTTTATACTTGCTTTTAACCCCAATCACCCAATATTTTAAATATTTTTAGACTCAATTTCAACAATTTTACCCCTTTTTGACTACAATTTCTCGTACTATTTTTGCGCAAGCACCCAGCAATAACAAATTTATTCATAAATTTCAAAAATTACAGAAATTATATAGCATTTTTGCAAAAAGAATGACATTTACAGAAAAATTAACCATTTACAAAAAAAGGAAGTAACCATTAAGTATTAGGAGAAAAGTATGTAATTACAATTTTTGACATATCCCGAAAAAGAATGAAAAATTAAATAAGCACAGTTTTTTAACATTTCCAAAAAAGAATGAAAAATTAAACAGTTACAATTTTTTAACAATTTCAGGTTTTTGCACTATTAGTTCAGATTTGACGGTCATATAGTATTGAACACAATTCAATAGACGTAAGAAGCTTTGAAGAGCGTTGGAACCACTTGAAGCATGTGTTTGGAACTTTGAAGGCTTTACAAGTCTGCCAATGGAAATAACTAGTGTTCCTATCGATTTTGATCTTTTTCATGTAATCGAAAGCGAATGAACGGATGGTTAAATAAACAATTGAACGAACAGATGGACAAACGGACGGTGAAATGAACAGTTGAACGAACAGATGGACAAACGGACGGTGAAATGAACGGTTGAACGAACAGTCGCACGAACGGACGGATGAATAGGCGGACGAATCGACGGGCAGACGAACGAACGGACGGACGAATGGTCGTGCGGACGAACGATCTTACAGACGAACGGACGGACGGTCGAGTGAATGGACGGACTAAAGGACGAACGGACGTAGGACGGTCAGACTCACAGACAATATATTTGCCGTCAATCATTTTTTTTGAATCTGACTGCATAACGTGTTAGATTAAGTAATTTATTACTGCAGGAACAATATTTATCAACTTTTTGTTGTAAGGAAGTTACGAGTTTTTGTCGAGATTTTGCTTATTTCCACCGCAGATTTTTAATACTTTCTTTTTAGTACGTACGTAGGTAGGCGAAAAAATAAAAAAAAGTAGTTTTTTTTTTGAAGAAGCAGAACAAATTTTCGAACCGAGTCCTGGTTTTGAGCTTCAGCGCTACATGGAGACTGCCTTACCGCCTTGAGAACAACTTGATTCTGCTCGGGCAGTCAGCGAGTCAGCTGCTTAAAGGCAGTCAGCGAGAGGCTGAAAGCCATGTCCCAAGAGACACGAACACACAGAGCAAGAAAAGGAATAATACATTGCCCAAAGCGCGCCGTTAATAACGCGTGCTTTAATTTGCGCATCGGGCGCCAGGGGCGCCGTGCTCCGTGGACTCCTCCGCGCCGCCGGCTGGAATGATGCTGCATCGCGCTTGGGAGAGCGAAGGGGCAATTTTCGACGTTCCGTGAGCATTCCTATTTCATTTTGGGACCGGCGAACATAATGTTAATGAAATACGGAAATTTGCCTTTCACAGAAAGTTTGTCGGAAATTCATACTTTCAACATTGTGTTTCAAAGAGTGAAAAGGCTCTCTCGCGAAAGTTTATTGTTTTCCGTTGTCACAGTTTCATTCGCGAGCAGAAACGTCAGTTGTCACCGCCTGTGTGCATCGAAGTCGCCGTTCCTTTAAACGGAATAAACATGTGATGTAGCGTGTGAGAAGCCGTGTTTGTGTAGGTTCAGCAGGAAACATTAGGTCATCTATTGATGCCTCCGGGCCCACTGGGGGCGCTTTCAGCATCATTGGGAATCGGAAAATAGACAATGTGCTGAACACATAATGTTAATACTATTCTAAAGCTTCTTTTTCTATAGTTTTATGTAAAAAGCGCAAATTTGGTGGTGTAAAGGATGTGTAACGCTTATAGGATTGTACACCCAAATTGCTATTTTAAACCAAGCCGAGGCGTTTCAAGAGGGAAAAATTTATCTCTTTCCTTCCTTGGAAAGCAAGTTAAGCCGGATGTCCCATATTGTGGATTTACTGCATGTAAAAGATCAAGCGTTAAAGAAGCCTCTGGGCTAAATTCCAATCGCCTGTTTCTTCGAGTGATACCTCCTTTTTGTGGACTGGTACCTTCTTTATCTGCTAGGCGGTGAAAGGAGTGCACCGAAATTTGCGAGGTCAGGTGGAAGAGGAGGCCTGATGGCCAGAAATTCACCTAAAATAAAGCGTTATTGATTGATAAAAACATTAGGAAGAACTCTCTGTGTAGTTAAGTGCTTCTTACAAAGTGACTCTACGCATTACATCTTTTTAAATTACATTTTTGCATATTATTCAAATTATATTTTGCACGATACTTTTATAAAAACATTTTTCTCAGAAGCTAATAAATGAATATGATTGACGAAAATAAATTAATGAAAACGTAGGACGATATTGAAAAATAAACAACGAAACACATCAACAAAAAAGGAAAAGAATGAATAAAATGAAATGAAAATTTCCAGTCAACAACCGATTAAATTTGAATGCAAGGCTTTAAAATCACAGTGAGAAAATAGGATTGGACATTGTATTCAGAATAGAATGAAAATGTTGAACCAATTGGAAATAACAACCGCATGCAAATGAAGAGAGGAAAACGGAATTTCAAACTTGACGCGGAATGTAGTAATTACAATGCGTGTGGACTTGCTAATTTATTGGGTGTCATTTCGTGTATTTCTAAAACTTTATTCGATGAGATCTCCAGTTTTCGTTTGAGCGTTATTGAGGTAGATTTTTGTGATTTCACTAAATGTATTTTTTTATAAATGGTAACATCAGTGTTAACAATTGAGTGTTGTTGATCAACGGAATAAATATCACGGAGAAAAATAAACAATTGTTGCTGCATCCACTTACCTCTTATGACGATGCTCGTTATCCATTTTTTCACTCAACTTTGAATTGATGTATTTTAGGTGGCGATTTAGTAGGCCATGAGACCTGCTCTTCGTCTGACTACGCTCATTTCACCAACTAGCGGAGAAAGGAGGTATTTTATGGGTGACGAAACAGGTGATTTGAATTTAGATCAGAGGTTTCATTTGGGCTTCAGGATCTTTTACTTGTAAATCTACTACCGTGAGACAGCCGGCTTTACTTCCCCTCCGAAGGAAGGCGTACGAAGAATTTTTCGCTCTAAAAATCCCCGTTTTCGATCGGATTTGAACCCGCGAACTTGGAGGCTACAGCTTGATACTTAACACCATCACCGCCGCCAACTTTGCACAACGAGAGAGTCAAACAACCACTAAAATTTTATTTTTCACAAATAACGCCTCAAAACCAACTGCTCATCATACGTATAGGTAATTATTTTGTACGAAAATCAAGTTTTATAAACAGGGAGAGGCGTGTCGGATGCGGGAGGA